ACGCGGCGCGCTCTCTGCTCCCTCCGCAGGCCCCGGCGCCGTGCACGACGGCAACAGCGGCGCGTGGCGGCGAGCGGGCGCCCCGTGGCTGCTGCCCCTCGCGCTCGCCCTCCCGCTCCTCAAGTTTTGACCCGAGCGCCGGCCCGCGCGGTAGCGGCGGCCCCCGCGGCGCCAGCCAGCGAGCACCCCAAGGAAGGAGAAGGAGAAGAAGAAGTATTCACCGTTCCAGAAAATAATCATACGAATTGCGAGAGTGTCCGGCCGGGCCGCCCAGGGGAGGGGGAGAGCGCAGGAAGCGCCCGCAGAGGAGGGAGCTTTGGAAAGCGCCCAGAGCCGAGGCCTCCCGCTGAAGACGCACCGTGACTGAGTCTTTTTTTCTTTCCCATTTTCGCCCCTTCCCTCCTCGCGCCCTTCCCGGTTTCCGTTCGCGGCTCGGCGGCGGGCGCCCTCTCCGCGTGGCTCTCGGTGTCGGACGCGACCTCCCCGTCTCGCGGCGGGCCGTGCCGCCGTCGGTGCTCCCGAACGTGCATATATATATGTATATATATACACACACACCCTGCTATACATATATATATATACATATATATATATATGTGGCTCCCCACAAGTTCCCGCGAGGACGGAAGGCGAAGGACGAGCGCGCCGCGGTCGTTTCCCGCGCGTTCCATGTACCCCCCGCGGGCGCCGTGAATAATAAGGGATTCTGAGTCACTCTGGATTCCAGCACTTATATTTTGCGATACGAGCCTAGAACTGTTAGTTCTTTAAAAAAAAAAAAGGGCAAAAAAACCCCAGGCCAGCGAAGCACCGGAGATCGGGGACGGAGCGGCGCGGCGGGGGCGAGCGCGCTCGGGACGTTCGGGAAGCGGCGCCGGCCCCGTCCCGCCGCCCGGAGGCGGGCGCTTATTCTTTTTACGGGATATATATATACAGTATATATAAATATACATATATATATATATAATTTTTCTTTTTGTTTCTGGTCCGCGTTCTAGCCAGCGCTCTCGGCGGGGCCCTCCGGCCGCCCTTTCTGCATGCTGCGTACGGAGTCAGGCGCGCGGCGCTCCCCTCGGGGGCGGCGGAGGTTCTCGGGGAGCGCGACCGAGGCGGCGGCGGCCTCCGCAGCTCCGTTTTATATATATATATATGTATATGTGTGCGTGCGTGTGCGTGCGTGTGTGTGTGTATATATATGTATATATATATAAAAGGAGGCGGAGGCCGCCCGGGCTCGCGGCGGGGGCCGCTCCTCGCGCCCGCGCGGGGGCTTTTCGGCGCCCGTCCCCTTTTCCCCCCCGCCCCGTCGTGCGCGGCCGGGGAGGGGGGCGGCGAGGGGAGGGCTCTCTCTGCCTGTCCATTAAAACCAATGTTCCATGTGGCTGCTCCGTCTGCGTGTGCTGCTCATTGCCGCGCCGTAGGGCGGCGGGGCGCCGCGTCTCGGCGTCGCCCCGCCGGCGGGGACGGCCAACGCCTCCGGCAACGGCCCTCGGCGCGAGGCCCCGAGGCTCCGGCCTCCCCGCGGCGGAGGACTCCGGCGAGGAACGCCGAGGGAGACGCTCCGGCATCAGGTAGGAGCTTCGGAAACCCTCTTCGGTGCGGTGGGAAGTCGCGGGAGGAGCCGGGGCGGAGGCGGAGGCTTCGTCGCGCTTGTCCCCTGGTGCCTTCTTGTTGGCGTTTGCACGAGGTTTGGCAGTGTCTTCTCCACGCTTGCGCTTTGGCCACCGGCCGGATTTTGGGTCTCCGGAGCGTCGGATGCTGCACGTCCCCCGGGGATGCGCCGAGGCCTCGCGGCGCGCGGCTGCATCGGGAGGCCGGGTCGCGGCGCGAGGGCCTTTGCGCGGCGCCCCGTGCGCCGCAGCCATCGCTGTGGGCAGGAGAGTTGGGTCTCTGTGTGCGGAAATCACCCGTGCGGGAACGGGGCCCGTGAGAGAGCGCGGTCCCCCGGCCGGGATCCCTCCCAGTTCTCCCGGCACCGCAGCGCGCCTCAGAAGAGGAGCGGGACGCGGCTTCCCGGCGCTCGGTGCCTTCCGAGGGCTCCGGGCACAGGGAGGCGCCCGCTTGCGGCGGGCTCGCGCGCCGGGCTAAGCAGCGGATGGGGCAGAGGAGTCGGAGCCCGATGCGTGCCAGCGGGACTCGCTTATAGGGAGGGCAGCGGCCGGGACCGCGCGGCTCCCGGGCCGGCGGCGCTTCCCGCGGCAAGGCAAGCGCCGCGGGTACAAAGTTTGTCAAACTTTATTGATACACTGCACGATCACAACCATCTCTTATTCTCGCCGAATTAGAAAAGGTTACAACTACAATGTAACATGCACAGACCCCAGGTAGTATAGTCACCTTTAGAATACAATTATCGACGGAGACGCGAGCGCGGGCCCCGGCGGCGGCCCGGCGGCCGGGGGTCAGCGTCTCCTGCGCGGTCGCCGCGGCGGAACCGCGCCGGGAACGCCGGGTACGTCGAGGAGGGGCGTCGTTTAGCCGGGACGGTTGCCGCGGCCGGGGCTCCGCTCCCTTCCCTCGCGTTCGGGGCCGTTCGGGAGCGTTCGGGTCGAGCCGCGCGTGGCCGTTTGGAGGGCGCAGTCCAGGCTGCTCGCGTCCGTCCACGCTTCGGGGCGGGATAACGGAGACGGTCGCCGGTCGGGGCGGCTCCGCGCGCTCGGCCGCCGCGTGCGGGCGGCCGCGAGTCCACACGGGCTCGGCCGCGGCTCATCCCCGGAGCGGGATAGGGAGCGAGCGGCTCGGACAGTTTTCCAGCGGGGACGTGGCGGGATCGGGGCGGTTTCTGCAGGCGGGGGATGGCCGGGGGCTCCAGCGCGGGCTCCTCGGCGGCGGAGGGGTCGCGTGTCCTTTGGGTGGCGGCAGCAGCACGGTCGAGGCGGTCGGCTCGGGGCGCGCCGGGAGAGGCGGCGGCGGCTCCGGGAGCATCCCGGCCTCTGCGGAGGGGCGCGTGCAGGGGATGGCCCCTTGCTGTGGGGGAAGCAGCAGGACGGGCAGGGAGGCGGCGTCTCCAGGGCATCGAGAGGAGAACTTGGCACGCGGGGCGCTCGGCTCGGAGAGCTCGGCCCCAGGGGCACCGGGCGGACGCGGCGCGGCCACCCGACGGCGATCACCGGGACAGGGGATCGGCGCCCGCTTGGGCGCCCAGGGCCTCTCCGAGGCCCCCGCACGCCGAGACGAGGGGGAGGCCGTCGAGTCCGGGCCGTGGCGGGTAGGCGACGTGTCCCACGAGAGCCCCGGCGAGGGACGAAGCGCTCGGCGGCGCGTCCGGCTCGCGCGGCGTCCACGGAGCGC